TATTCTTCAGCCTATTGGTCCTTGTTTTCATTATCCTGTACCGTCTGCCAGATGGTAATAGTTCAAAAAGTATAGTCCTGGGAAGCAGGATTTCAAATCATTCAGAGAGATTCCATTTTAATGAACTCACTATAAATGACGCTGGGGAATTCCTCTTAGAATTTCCAAGATTCTTTTTACTCCAGACTATCACTTATTCAATAAGATACATATCTTATTGAAATCTGTGAAATTCCTTCCTTCCTGAATCTTGCCCAGCTGTGTAGAGTTTAACAGATGTATACGCAACAGTGCAACCACAAATAAAGTGATATAGATGTTTTATGAAGTCAATGCCATTTCTATGTATTATACATGGATAAGGGAGATCAAATTCCTCTATATGAAAGAACAATATTGAGATCATCTTCTTACTCTTTTGGAATGGTCAAGGGAATACTGGTTCCAGTACTGGTGTCTCCTGATATGCTCATATAACACAGCTGTTCCGTCACCCGCATTGGCTCCCAGTAGGCTGCCAGGTCCACCACCTATGGCATAGGACCAGGCTATTTGTGGGACTGCCTATCCCCCATTGTTTCATTGCCCACCCTACCCAGTACAACCTTGCTATTATGGGTCTATCTTCATTGCTGTCACAATACCACTTCCCCAGTAAAGTTTATATTGGTTTACTTTCACACAATTACCAGCCTCCAAAAATTCTACTAATATATTACTCCCAACATAATTATTTCTCTCTCAACATTTTCTTTTCCTTTGTTCAAAGCAACCTGCGTCAACAAGGCAATGGTTAAAATATTGGATTAAGATTGGGGAATTCGAGGCTCAATTCTCTGCTGGGTTAGGGTTACAGAACTGGTTGTGATGCTAACACAGCAGTCTCAGCTCATGAGACGGAGGAGGGGCAGGGTAAAAATGGAATAAAAGTCTACTCATCTTTGTCCATTTATCTCCCTAACCAAGGAATCACAAATGGTCTTCTTCCATCTATGATGGAAGAGAAGCATGTAAATACATTCAGTATTCCTATCAGCTGTATCAGTTGAAACCTTTTTTATGTCTTATAACTGCCATCCCCTTCTTTGCTTTAAAGTTAACCCTGGTTGTCACACTACAAAAATCAATAAAGCCAGTGGACTTTCTACAGGTCAAGCCTCCTACATAAAAAGCACCTTCCTTTGTGTTTTTAGCCAAAGACAGCCCCAAGGGAGGGAGTTAATATTCTGAAGAATTCAAAAGAGAATTAGAGAAGTCCCTGTAGAATAGATTCAGAGTCTTCTATATTAGACTTGGAGCTTCAGGCAGATGATGACTTGAAGGGAGAAGAAAAGATAGCCCATTTTGCATCTTCAGGCATTGGCTGAGAATGATCAAGCAGTTAGACGATGCAGGTTGGACTGAACTGAGTTAGCCCCCATATAATGGAGTTTTAAAACAGTCTGCTAGATATACTATATCAAAGTAATTTAGCAAAATAAGTTTCTTGACAAGGGACATCTTTTGCATGGTTAAGATTGGTGGAGTCTCCAGTTCAGGAATAGGGCACGGTGGAACATTTTCCAGAGAGCTGTTATTAACATAAGGAAATATTTACCCATTTGAAGCTCTAGAGACAAGGCAATATGAGAAATTGCTTTATCCTCCTAACTCCCAGAGAATGGCAAGTGAAGCTCGGTATGTAACATCCAAGATCTTCACTTGTAACATTCTAGCCACTTCTGGTTTGGGTGTGTGTAGGTGTGTGCGTGAAAATGTCTTTCTTCATTTGCAGAGAATAACTATGGAGAAGCATGAAGGTAAGATCATATTTTGTAATCTGGAATGCAGGCTGGCAGCATAAGGAAACGTCACCACTTATTTGCAGGTATCTTTTTTGGCTGGCAATATTAGATCTGCCCCAGTTCTCACTTGAATCAAAGAGATGCCCATTTAAATTTCTTCTTCTTCTTCTTCTTCTTCTTCTTCTTCTTCTTCTTCTTCTTCTTCTTCTTCTTCTTCTTCTTC